GCAGTGACCGAACGTGGACCACGAAAGTACATCCCAACACTACACCAAGACCTGCATTATGACAGCACCATCAGACGACCTTCCCATCCCCAAGTACACCGGAGCAGCGGACGATGGACCTGTACAAGACTGGTTCGACCTGTTCGAGCACCACGCAACCGCTGCATCTTGGTCGGAACGGGAGATGATCATCAACTTCACTGACTACATCTCCGGTGAGGCATTTAAGTTTTACCTCACCCACGTCTTTGAAAATGACGAGTCATGGCAAAAGATCAAAGAAGAGATGTTCACTCGTTTTAACGACTATGAACAAGACCTACTTATTGCCGACCATCTGGAGAAAACCGCACACTATTGTCAATTCCCTAAGCAGTCCTCAAGCATTCTAAAGCCCAACGCGAGTCGACAACTGCCTTAAGACGAAGTGACACATGAGTTTACTTACAGAAGGCCATGCGTATATTGGGAAAAACCTTACCGTCAAGCGCGCATCCCTTCTGCGCGAAAGTCAGCATTTTCGAAGTCATCGCTTCAACATACGACACGAGACGTCGCTCATCCTACTGATGCCTTTCATGCTTCGTCTCGCATACCTGGTCCACCACCTGGTTTTCTACGACGCAGCTCTTCAAAGGCTCCTAACAGTCACTATTCGTGTCATAAGGACGCCTTGTTCATGATAGACCAGCTGAAACATGAGGAAAATGCCGAACAACGCCATGACGACTCAAAGAGTGAAAATCAGTCTCCACACATTCGATCAGCTTATTTTCCATCTAGCACAATTGGGCTACCTCCTGGTTTTCCGTCACTTGGCTCTTCCGTCGCTCACAACGCCCACCTCACATCTAGCAAGCTCACAATGGTCGGGATAGAGCTGCGGACCTCGGAGAATACTCAGCCAAGCCCTGAACCTACCATCCAGATTCAGGCACAAGAACCACTCGCAGCGAACAGCGAAGAAGAAGCCCCTGATGATTTATCTATCAACTCTGAAGCATTATCTTCATTACCCGAAATGCAGCACAACAGCCTAGAGACTACTACCTGCCCACTCGACACCACATTCAATTGCCCAGAAAGTCAGTGTCATGGTGAAAAAGGGCTGCCACCTCAGGTGTTTTCGCAGCAACATCATCAATGTCAGGAAGTCCACGAACAACAGAGATACCAAGGACTATACGAACAAGGACGACGACGAATGGAATCATCTTCGGAAGAACACACGCAGTTTATGGAAAGCTGTTTACAAACGTGTCAACCAAACCAACGACATATTCAAGATTTCTCGCTCGAAACAAAGAAAGCATCGAATCCAGGATATTTTCCCAAGGAACATCGAGTAAGTTTTCTCCAGTCGAGATCAAGACTCAGGCAACACGGCATACAACGTCGAGAAAAGCACCAAACCATACCCTGTATTCCACAAGGACGCAGAAATCACCGCACCAGCCTCGGTCAACAAGCAAGCAAAAGGGTGGCGACGCATAGGTTCCAATCCAGACAAATAGCACGACACCTGCGCACATCATCCAGCCAATGCTTCAAGGCCATCACACCACGTTCATTCATCGCAAGAATACCGGCTGTGTTTTCATCTGAATTCACGCTCAAAGCATGCTTATGTTGTCCAGAGCGCAACAGCCAGCCTCGCCCTCCAGAGCTGTACTTGATACCCCGGATTGCTGTCCTCTCCTGTGAAGCTATAGTGTGTTGACAGAAACTTCCTCGGACTTGGAATGATCTCTTTTGACAGTGTTCAGTTCTAAGCCGTGCATGTTCAGTTTTCATTTATGTTCGTCTGACGCGACTTCTTATGGGGGGAGGGGGAATCCTGTAACGTAAGAAGGTAGCGATGGTTAGGAGTTAGTAGTAGAGGCAGAAAAGGAAGAAGTGCAGAATCGAATAAACATGGCGTATGAGCCAGGCCACGTCGCCCATCCATCATAGTGTCACATATATATGTATATATATATATATATATATATATATATATATATATATGCAGTATAAAAAGAGGTCGACAAACGTGCGAAAAAACACTAGTTTTACTAACGTTTCGGCAGGTGGGCCTGCCTTCGTCGGAGTGAATATATATATATATATATATATATATATATATATATATATATATATATATATATATATATATATATATATATATATATATATATATCCTGGCAGTAAGGCCACATACTGAGCAATCACATGCACGCTCAACAGAAGCGGTGCGAAACCTTGGAACAAGTCACACTCAATTTGAGCATATCTACGAAGCAATCTATGCAATGAACAGCTGCTTCGGCAACAACCCACAAGTCATTATAAATATACGGCACTCCTCGGCAGAGGGTATGCATAGCACTTCAGTGAGAAACAGAGAATAACACTCCTGGCAGAGATTACGCATCATTAATGCATCCATAGCATTTCAATTCACCCTCTCTAGTCGCCACAGTATCGCATCACAACGCGATCCATCACGTCGTTTCCTCATATCAAAATGTACACAATGCTGCGTGTAAGCAATGGCGAGGCTAGCCAGTGCATGTTTGAGCGTGTGGATTTTTGTTTTTGGCGTTCCTGGTTAGCAACCATGAACACCATTGTTAGAAACCAGGAGTTCTGGCACATATTGAAAGTGTGAAAGAAACAGCTTCCACGCAATTTACCATCCTATGCCTACCAGCAAAAGAATGAGCAACGAGGCTAAAACAAGCGGTTGTATTGCTTTAAAAAGTTTCACGTTCTTCCTTACCAAATAGAATTATTTATTTGACGTTAGAAGAATATCGCTTGCTTTTGTTCCGTGAAAGTGGCCATATTGTACCCCATTGCGCTACAGATACATACTCTGGAGCCAGTATGAACGGTATTTTATAGCTCGCACTTTCCGCTCACACAGCTCCTGGTTGGTGGTCCCCACAAATAGATCTTCCAATGCCTCGTTTCGGCACGTTCGTTCGAAAGGGCACGTTTCTAAATGTGAAACACAATTGTTATCAACACCTTATCACACCACGAGGTGGAAACTCTAGCCGAAGCGTCGGCCCAGCTCGTAACAACCGCCCACATCAAAAACTCTCTAGCGACGCGTGCCTGCCCCCAACTGATAAGGCACCGTGTTGCACGTTTGCGCCTCCTCTGATGGGGAGAGAACAACAGCTATTGCGGTAAGACCTAAGAAGTTGGATGATCCGCCAGGCTTAACCTGGTGGCTACCTCCTCTGCCCCTTGCAGGGATGCGAGCTGGACTACCAGGCTGGTGGAAGTCAAACCTGCATCCCACTCTTTTGGCAGTGAAGTGGACAGGAGATCGGAAGTTGGAGGATTGTCCATGCAGGCCCAGAAATTGTGTGTGGCTACCAACACACAATGCGAGCGATGCGCATCAATCGTGTCGAAGTATATACGTGCACAAGTGTCTAGTCACGGGAGTGATTGAGTTTGCTGTCAGCGCCAGACAACGTCGTGGCACTTAGTTAACTTACCGTGCCGGGGTAGTTTTAACTGCCTCAAAAGATTGTAGTAATCCGTAATGACATCTTAGGATGCCGAGGATTCACAAGGGTTTTGTAATCATAGGTTGCAACCACCGCTCAGCCCATGAATTCTAGATGATGTTAACGGGCTGCCTCAGGTTTCCTGTGTTTTTATTTCACTTTTACTTTCTTGGCGCATTGATCTGGTTTGTTCAAGGATGATAGAAGTTTCCATGAGAAATTTATTGCCGCGTTAGCTTCTTCAAATTTTATTTCTAGAGATCGGGTTTTTTGAATTCCACTTTGTCTGTTTACTGTAATCAGTGCAAACGATCTATTGGTTATGTTTTATACCTTGTCACCAATTCAATACATTGAGAAAAAGCATACTGGTACCAATGCATCAAAAATTGTGCATGGAATTATCAGAAGATGTGCGGCTAAGTTCGACATGCATAACAATTTTCAATTCCAGTCACAAATACTCAAAATCGCCCCGCCGCGGTGGTCTAGTGGCTAAGGTACTCGGCTGCTGAACCGCAGGTCGCGGGTTCGATTCCCGGCTGCGGCGGCTGCATTTCCGATGGAGGCGGAAATGTTGTAGGCCCGTGTGCTCAGATTTGGGCGCACGTTAAAGAACCCCAGGTGATCGAAATTTCCGGAGCCCTCCACTACGGCGTCTCTCATAATCATATGGTGGTTTTGGGACGTTAAACCCCACAAATCAAATCATAATACTTAAAGTCTGCAAATAATCACGAATAAATAGTGGGCCTACAAATCACCTGATATTGTAATTGTCGGAAACTTTTGGCTTGTACTCCGCCAATCCCCTCTAGTGGGTGCGTGCATAGAGTGGAGGACAAGAACGGAAGAGCCTACGCAGCAATGACTACTAACACCCCTGGTCAGAATTTCACTTTTCAATCCCTACCCGAGGGTGGTGCCTTGAACGACGAGTCACCCCTGACACACCGCGATATGCCAGTGAAGGTTACTTCCTCAAATCAACCTTCTACGCCATCTAGTACGCGAAGGCTTCTCGCCGTGGCCGCACCAGGTAGGGAAGACCTCGTTATCTTGGTCGACACTTCGCCGTTGCGCTTGCCCCTGAATGCACCGCCCTCTTCCCCGCTTGACGAGACGATGTCGCCAGAACGCAGATTCCTCGACCGCGACGAAGCGACGCCCCCAGATGAACGTATCTGCACACAGCTATGGGCGTTGTGGGCTGCCTTGACGTTCCCCCTGCTTCTGTCGTCCTGGCTGCTCCTCATACCCTTCCTTATTTCGAGCAAGGACAACGCAGTGACGGAGGCGCCCAGATTTCCTTCGGCGAGACCACCTAGCGTGCCAGCCACTACGCTTAGTTCGCCCTTCCCAACATCCCAGACAACGCCCTTCCCAATAGCACAGACAACAGCAGCGACAGGAGCGAGCACTCCCTTCTCCTGGCAGGGAATACCCCCTGCGTGCCTTTCGCCAGTCACACCTGCTACAGAGCCTTCATCGTACATGGTCGGTCCCCACGCAGCCAGTGTTGCCGCAGCTGATCGCAGCCAGAGGCCCATATTTTGCCTTTTCGACAACGCTAAAGTTAATGCCAGTCGATCGTCCCGCCAGCCGTTTTACTACATGTTCGAAACGTTGCCCTTCGCCCTCTGCCCAAATGTCGTGTATTCGTCTGTGGGAATCGCAGACGGGCAGCTGGTCAGCCGACTTCCGCTCTTTGAACAGAAACACGGCTTACCACTGCTGAGGCAAATAGTGAACAAACAGGGATTCCAGGACACACGGATTTTGCTGGTGCTCGGTGGTCGCAAGGAGGACGCCCCACACTTCTGGAGGCTTGGTAGAGACCCCAATACCTTCGACCTTCTCATGAAGAACGTGGTGGACGGCATGATCAAGTTTCAGCTCGACGGTGTGACTGTTCACTGGATGGAGCCCACCTCCAACTGTAGCGGTACTGATCACGACTTGGTTTTGTCGATTCTCCTGCACCGGTTGAAGGAGACCTTCGCCAAACGTGGCCTGACACGACACGTTGTATCTGTGATGCTGGACATGAGAGCTGACAACCGGTATCTTCTAAACAGCGTAGCCAATGTGGTGAACTATTTTTTCATTGGCACAAACGTCTTGCGTTACACGGGGCGAGGTCCTTTTCAAGACATCTGCGCCAACTTGAGCCACGCTCCACGCGTCGTGATTAGCAGCTACGCCAGTTTCTCAAAGAATGTTGGGGCAGACCAGCTCTGTATCATGGTGGAGCTCGCACCTTGGGGTGCAGCTGGGTTCGAACTGCCGACCGGTGCTTGGATAGCAAATGGTACGCTTAGAAGGGCACTATTGAATAATGCCTGCAGTCAAAGGAGTTTCTGCAGAAAGGACGCTGGGAACGCATCATGCATTGCCCATCTGGCTTATTACTCTGGCAATACGACGCTGGGCGCTCGAAAGGGAACAATTTTTTTAGTTCCGAACATTGATGCTCTCAAGCTCCTTAACTTCAGTGGCATCAAAAGTTCGGCGCCAAGTACTACCGCCCACGCTTGTGTGCTCCTGCTAGACTTAGACCGAGATAACTACGCAAGACAGTGTGGAATGTTCATACAATATGTGCTCATGGAGCACTTCTATAGGGGCATAGTTGGGCAACGGCACAGGCATCAGTCTATAATCGACGCAGCGCCGCTTTGTCAGGTTCCAAAACTTGGGTGAGCACCCCACCCTATGCGCGGTTTTCAATGCGCACCAAACCTGTTCATTTGTAGTGGTTTCTTCAGAATACAACAAAATGTTTCTGTATGCTTTCGAATGTATCCTTGCTGATACGATTTTTTTGCAATGTGCCGACAAGTTTTAACCGCTTTCGTGTACAGGATTTTCAATGTTACGTTAGTGGTGAGCATTCAGTAATGTTAGTCATATTCATACTTTCATGAGCCTAAATTGATATTTCAACACAAAGTTGACATACGAAAGCTCCCAGATAACGGTGGTCCGATAAATACCTAGAATCAGATATGGAGAGAGACAGAAACAGATGAAAGTAACAAAAAATAAACATAAAGCAAGATTTACAGCGAAAGCTGCTAAGAGATCACAACTCGGGCCATGCGCAGTTTTTCGCCACCGCCACTGCCTCCACCGTTGTCCGTAACCACACCCCACGAAGTGAGAAGAAAAAATCGTGGCACCTAAGACACACTGGAGCTCTAAACCCAAGACGGCTGGGTGCCAGCCTGGTATTCTACCACTGAGCTACTCGGGTGCGTGTGACTTGTTGGCAAACTTGCCTTAGGCAGGCTTGGTGTCGGGAAAGCAATTGTGGTAATACGACTTAGAAAGCGTTTTAAAACAGCGAAAGAACAACCAGTCGTCGCACAATGCGAAGAACATAACGCATTGGCCCTACAATTGTCCAACCCATTGCAAAGACTTGTTCTTCTTCCTCTAATAACTGTGGTGCATACCTATACTTCCGCCACAATTCCTCATCGTCGTCAGTCACTGCATCAATAATAAATTAGCACGAAATTACTTGCAAGTGTTTAGCGGATACCACGCTTCTCAGAAAAATTAGGAAAACGAGCATAGTAAGTGCCAGCCTGCTACTCAATAAAATTTATTGGTAATGCCCTAGTGGGTATCAAGCAAGTGTTGTTGCAGTAATTACCCAGCGAGTTTTGAAGTCTCTGAAAGGCCGCTCTTCAAGCTTTCGCAGTGACTGTGCCGCGCCTTCTTTGCAGGCCTCACGTTTTTTTAAATGAATGGATAGATAGATACATATGAAGACTGATAAATAAGGTCAATGTGATGCTTAGAAACTGCAACGACAGCCTTCAAACAGGTTATAGCCCCTGGTAGTTGATTTTATTTCTAGGCCTCTTTCAGAGAGCCACCAAGAGGTGGTCCTGCGGTAAGTGAAGGCACAACCTAATACTCTGGAGCTTCGCCTTGAAGGTTCGGTATCTAGATAATTAGAAGTATCCTTCACAACAGTGACCTTCAAAAAACAGCCTGCAATGCTTTAGATGTCATCTTACTTACCCCATTTGTATCCGTTAACTTATCTCATTATGTACAGCTTAATCTTCGAGATCAACTTTGACAGCAAATGCGACTCGTACATCATTTTGCTAGCTTCGTACGGCTCTAAACTTACCCACCATTTTCTAATCGAAAGTGTCTTCACGGAGGCAAGGAGGATCTTGCAGCTTGAATATTGGTGGTAAATTGTCACTCTCTAACGTTTAGAAAAGCATGCTACAAATATTTTCTATTTTCCCTCATAATTCAGAATTATTACCTTTACGACCTTTGCTATCGTAACTGCATTACGATTTGAAGGGTACTTATTTTGACGCGATAGCGTTGAGCAGCTCGTTTCGTAGAAATTCCAGAGTCGGTGTCAGTGTCTGCTTCGTTAGTTGGGAGCGAAAAAACATCATCCCATGTGTCGCCAAATATTCGAGAAAGATGCAAATAAAAAATAAATGAGCTGTGTCCGAGTAGAGACCGACTCGAACGGTTTGTGCGAAAAGCAGGTGTTCTACTGCGCAGCCATGCGTGTGCTTGTAATACAGTGAAAATAACTTTATCTACTTCGACATGCAATGAAAGTAACTTTCATTCTTTAGAAACATACGCTCGTCCCTAAGCATGCTTCCCCAATGCCACATGAAATACTGCAGTAATATTGCGTGGTACAAGCGTACATTTGCCATGGGGCAATAGAACATGTGATTATCCTAATGACTTGTTGGCTTTAAGCTGGTCGCTCACAACACAAGGCACACGCGTTGCTGCTCCTATTCATTTCAGGCCACTTCATACGTGCATATCCATTTTGAAAAGATTTAACGCAGTAAGTGTTTGTAGTACGCGCTAGGAACAAAATATCTCTATCGCGTTCAACTCCTAAAGGTGAAGATTCAGAATCCCCTATTTTTTTATCAATAAATAAACCCATTTTTAAAAGAAACTGCTCCTGCTTTCGCCCTTCATAGTGGGTATGAACCGCGGATAAGGATTGATTGATTGATTTGTGGGGTTTAACGTCCCAAAACCACCATATGATTATGAGAGACGCCGTAGTGGAGGGCTCCGGGAATTTCGACCACCTGGGGTTCTTTAACGTGCACCCAAATCTGAGTACACGGGCCTACAACATTTCCGCCTCCATCGGAAATGCAGCCGCCGCAGCCGGGAATCGAACCCGCGACCTGCGGGTCAGCAGCCGAGTACCTTAGCCACTAGACCACCGCGGCGGGGCACCGCGGATAAGGAATAGATTTGTAGCTTTGCACGGAGGAAGAAAAGATAGGAGAGGGAATGCCCAGTCGGTGCACTACGTGAAAAGTGTGGAGGAAATGACATCATGGCGGCTATAATCACTAGGCAGAATGGCGGCGTTGATATGATTACGTGTTGCGCAGTGTAGCTGGTTTAGCACTGAGCTGCCGCGGCTGGCGGCGGCATGTGTGCCTCCGCAGATCTCGTGCTGAGCCGTGACGGACAATAGCCGTGCTCGGTGGCACGTTGTTGGTCACGCAGTGTTCTACTGGCAAACTGTACTCCTAGCAACCTTTACAAAACCCCTTGTCCACCACGGGGCCTCAGCAGTGCTTAGAGCGAGCGCATGTCCATGTGTCGGGTGGCGGATGACGCGGATGAAGCATTTGAAGTGTTCAGCGAAATTGTGTTGTGGCACCATGACGAAGCGGAACGATGACGAACGCCTTGCAGGTCACAGACGGTTGTGCAGTGCTTCTGCTTGTGACAACGGGTGAAACTGTTTAGCCCAGCGAGACGCAATGTGGACCGTGTGCACATACGCAGTTTCGTACTTGGTATGTGTAGTACAGTAACAAGTTGTATGCGCTTATAAAAACGCCTTTACTGTTCCGCTTGTTACACTCGCAGCCAGCTTTGTAATCTTAGCGTTAGAGCAACCGCGTTCAAGTGTCACTTGCACCATGCTCAAAGTCCTCGTGGTTCCAGAAAGCTGACGCCGTTGAATTTCACGCGGAACACGGGCACAGTGGCCAGGCGCCGCGTTGGTCACGTGACGGAATTCAACCGTAGAAGAAGGCGCACGACCGATCGTCTTGGCTGTAGAGTTGCTGAATTAATGACGGGGACACAGTCGCCGTCGTCAGTTCATCTAGTGAGCGTTCTCTTGTACTTACTTCGTTTTCAATGAGCTGTTACTCGCTGTTCTTACTCAGACGAAGCGATTTCGCCGAAGGTGTCTCGCTGGCATAGAGTGTTGTGCCCCGTTCCATTGATTTCGGATCGTCCCGACACGCGCGCTGCGCAACCCACCTGCTTTCCGAGCTGGAGGAGACAGTCGCGCCTTCTGCTTCACATTCGGATATAAACAAGAGAGGCGAATTTGCCCTGTCGATATGGCCGACTTCCGGCTTCACCACGGCCTCAGAAGGAGTGACGTCCGGGCCTCTCCAAAGTTGTTTTCTTCCTCCATGTAGCTTTATAATAAATTAGTCCTACAATGCAGATGTGATTACATTTACCTACAATCTATTCGTTTCTTGGCCTCAACCAGAGATGACGTGTGAGCCATACGTATAGGACATCAACATCACCATAGTATTATTGTGGAAAACAGTGTCCCCGCCCACCGAAAATACTTTATTTGATAGACAATGTCTGCATCGCGTCCCTGGACTATATGTAAAGTGACATATTCAAACGAAAGGAGAAAAAAATATTTAAAGGTTGAAATTAAGTCATACTCGCAAAGCGTGAGCGTGAAGCGAAGAAGATGATGTCCCAGCGGCATGATTGCAGTTTACCGGCACGAAGATCAGAGTACGCATTTATCAGCGACCCTGACTCTTTTTTTCTTGCACATTGGCCTCGATTTCATACCCCTCGGATAATTTTCCTTAAAAAGAAACTGGATTGCATAAATGTAGACATTAGCACAGTAATTGAAACTAATTCCTCAACCATCAACATTAGAATAGAGTACGATGAAATCTTCCCCCCACAAGCCAAGTTGCAATCCCTTAAATTTTTGACCACTACATCAAACGATTACTTGGTACATGCAGAAACAAAAAATGTAACAGCTACAGATGCTTCTGTCAACAATGAAAAGGCAGGCGTAGGAATTGCGTCTGATTTCCTCGGCTGGTATTTTTCAGTAAGGCTTTCAGATTTCACTCCTATATTTGAAGCCGAGCTACAGGTTTTCCCGCTCAATTTAATCCAAGCGCCAGCCAAATTAATCTAGGCGCCAGTCAATTTAATCCAGCCGCCACTGAAATTAATCCAGGTGCCATTCATTTTAATCCAAGT